ATACAACCAAGGGAAAATAAAGACTGATTGCAGATCCCCAAAGTGTAATAATTGTGCATATGACTTTTGGAAAAAGAGTGGCAAAAAAATCTAGCCACCTGGCTCTATGAAGCTGGGAGTTGGGGCAAGACAAAGAGAAGTATCTTTTATTAGCCATCATTAGATTGTTTTCATGTTTAGATTGCTATTTTTTCAATTGACCTCTTATTACATCCTCTAGTAGTGACAGTCAAATGTGGAAACCAAATGAGTATCAGAAGGACAAGATCTCCACCCCCACCTCCACCCTCATATCATTCAGAGTTGTATCTGGCCAGACTTCTCCAGCCAAATCGGCCCTTGAATGTGACTCTGCTTTAAAACTAGAGGCTGCAAACTGTGAGCCCTCTTCTGCTCAGAGAGATGTTTGTTTGGACTGCACTACGCTCTGAATCAGCTGACATCATTTACAGCTCAAGAGACCGTCTAAGGTTCAGAAGCTTTAGCCACACTTGAGCTTCAGCAGACTATCGGTTGGCCCTTTTCGGATGGAGCATTTCTCATCAGCTCCCCACTGGCCTGCTTCTCTCATTTGCACAAACTCCCTGGCCCTTTTAGGCTTTTGAATGTTAACCCTCGCTTTAAATGGACATGTATCTCTGGTCTGATCCTCCCTCACCCCAAAATGGTGGTCAGCTCTTAAGTAAAGACCCACATGGTTTTCCTATATCAGGTTGTTGCTTGGACTGACAGTTAGAAACAGAAAATCAAATACCACATCATCTAAAGCAGATGGTGGGCTTTTTTATCTTCTTAATACAGGGGGCTCTGCGCCAAGTCTCACTACAGACGCACATTTTAAGGTTATTGCTGTTCCATTGAATGGTGGTTCTGTCCGGCACAGACATCCTTGCCTGAGTTTACTGTCAACAGTACTAACTTCCTTGGAAACAAAAGTTTATAGAGAAAAAAGAGCCAGGAAACATTATTTCTTCTAATTGCCAATAGAGGCAGAATTTTTCTTGCGTCCATAATAAATGAAAACAAAGAACATGGGACAAAACTCACATCACTTGCATCTGATGTTTTTGCAAAAAACCTGGCTACATTCTAGGTTGTCCTCGGGACACAAGAATTGTTTCTGCATTCAAACCGGGTACACATGGGGTGGTAGAGAGCGAGCGTGAGTTGACTGCCCATGTGTGTGATTTGCTACAAGCAGTTCAGCTTGACTGCTGTGAAGGTATGTGTCGAACAAAGCAGCTATGATAGAAAGTGGACTGATGCCTCCCTGGCACCTCTCGTTAATATTCAGAGTTCATTATCATTTAGGGTCTCTTAGATTCTGTCAAAAAGGTCTAATTACCCACGAGACCACTGTGGTCTCTGTTTTTACCAAATCAGTGGCCTTTTAGTCCAAAGCCCAGAAAACACTATTAAAACAAGGGAATCCAGGCAGGGTATGTTTGTGCAGGACATCTCCACCTTCAGCTTTGAGGCCCTGGGGACAAAAGAACTGCAGAGAAAGGAACACAAAGATGACCTGAGTCACGGGCAGGAGGGGTCTATGTGAGATGTTAGATGGATTTGGGGTCCCCTTTCTCTTCCGTTCCCTCCAAAGTTTGCCTTTCCTTTCACAGCCACAAGTACAGCTTCACCTCCCTGTCGGGTTCATCTAATGCCGCTGAGATGTCTGTATTTCCCTTGCTCGGGACTTGTATAGGAAGCTTGGGTTCACTGGAGATACATATTCCTGTAAATGGAGCAGCTGGATTATTGGCTCTTGGCAGATTTTAGAAAACGAGACTAAGTTGTTCTCACTCGTGAGCAACTTGTCAGCAAGTCCAAATAGTAAACGTAAGTTTCGTTTACAACATGAAGTCACTGCTTGTTGGTCTGAAAGCCTTGTCAGAGGTTCTCTCATTGGCATATTTAATTGATGCCATTTCCATTTTGTTGTCATTTTCCTGTTTTTTCCCCTCCCCCTCCTTCTGGATGTACCTTTTTATTTTATTTTTGAAATAAAACATCCCTGAGTGGATACAGTGCAACATCTGCATCAAGCAGTGATTGTCATTTACGAAGCATGGAGTGAAAAGTAGGGCTCATGGGTAATTTTTTCCAGTGCACACTTTGCCATGAATGTGTTGTGAACATTTGTGAGTGTTCATGGGGAAGGGACGAGGATCGCGTGTGGTAAAGGAAGTTGTTCTTACCCAACCTTCAAAATACCTCGAGAGGGAGTCACAGCAGATGTTTAAAGGGCAGCTTGTAAAAGTGCTTTGTTACCATTGAAAGTATGTCTTGGTTCTCTTTTAAGGGACCGATTTGGCAACCGTGGCGAAGAACGGAAATCTCTTTTCTCAGCTGAAGTGGGCTGAGCGCGCACTGGTTTCCACTGCTCTGTTTCGGTTCAGTCTCTAGCTGTTTCCTATCCCCTCGCTTCAAAAGGTTCATGCCGTCCCAATTAAATGCCTGCACTAGTGGAAACGACACAAATTCAAATCCAGTACCTCCTGAGGCAAATGTGGGGAGCAATCTTTTTCCTACATCACCCATGGGACACGGGAGGAAAAAATTCTCAGCCACTTCATCCATCGGGCCAATTTAAATCCTCCAAGGTAAAGTGGAGGAAACAAACCATCCCCTTTGCAACTGAGCAGGAATTACAGGCTGACAATGGAAAACACTAGGCCAACAGAACAATGAAAACAAACTTTGACATAAGTTCAAAGCTCAAAGGGAAACACCAAGTAGACACATTAAATGTCGCCTATCACAAGCCAATCATAAAACATACATTGCATTTGGAAACGGCTTGGTTTAATTGAGTGCCTTCCATTACCCTGTTTTCCTAGCAATCAGTAAAGTAATCTTTCCATTAGAAGGAAATATGACTCTTGGAATTAATTCTTTATACAAAGAGCTAGCAGGAGTGACATTTACACCAAAAAGAATTGAGTCCCTGTAGCAGCATAATAAGCAGTCTACAGCTGTCTTCTTAGACACTGAAGTTAATTTGGTCCAATGTAGTTAAATTAATTGAATATAACAGTAGTTGAGAAAGAGATTCATTATTTTAAAGCCTTTTTGTTTTTCCCCATTGGTTTGGAATTCATCAATCATGAGGTGGAAAAAGACTGTTTTCTAAAAGGAAAGACTGCACTTCTGTTTGATCATCAGTGAGGAGTTCTGTGGCAGCGTGGAGATGGCTCTCAACCATGTAACTCAGGAAAGCATAAGAGATGAACCAAGAACTCAAAGTTTCCACTGATGGAAACTTTATAAAGCAGGTGTGTGTGCGTGTGCATGTGTGTGTGTTTGAAAGGAAAAAGGTGCTGGGCTATACTTAGAGGAGATCATAATTTTCATTGTTTTATACATAAAGCTCTCCTCTCCCTTCCTTTTTCAAAACCCTATTTTGGATGAAATAAGTCCAAAGGCATAGGCCTCAGACCACAGGTAGAACAAACTCCATAGAATTTATGTTTTTTTCCTGGAGATCAGTTTGATTGAAGAGCAGGTGCAGAAGTGAGAATTTGTACTAGGAAGCCTAAACTCTCTAATCCTTATTTCACCTCTTGTGATCTGTACTTTTAAAAGATGCTAAGAAAATAATCTCAGGCTAGATGGAAAATGTAATTTCAAACTGCATGGGAAAGAGTTTGGCTTTGGGGTGTATTTCTTTTTTATAATAACTCAGATATTTTTTTCCAACTGTCAAGTTTTTGCTATATTTTTATAATGCAGGGTTTTGGAATTGGAAAAAACTAGAGGCTCCTGACTAAAGGACATATAAAATCCTGCCTTCCCGTTGTTTCTGCTTTTTCTAGCAAACTTTATTAAAGAAAATGGATATAAAGAACTACTTCTTTACTTTGTATATTTTCTTTCTACTTCTTCTTTGCCAAAAAAAATATATATATATTTTTTTAGAGAGAAAATCTTTACATGAAATGGCATTGGGACCCTAGCTTCTGATTTACTCCAATTTTATTAGAAAAAAATTGCTGGTGATTTTAATCTACAGGTTGTAGTTCTCTGTTGAAGACACAGTAAGCACCAAAATCAAGTTTCTTTCATAACCTGAAATCCAAAGAAAAGAAGTGTTTTGTGTGTCCTGGTGAAAATCTATGGTTTGGTCAAAAAAGTCCTGGACTCCACAATATTACCTGTGGCCTAATTCTTAAAACAGGAAAATGGCTCCAAATACTTGTATTTCCCCTCCAATATGTACCATCTTGACAAGGCTTTGATGTCACGGATAGAAGCAGAGTTTTTATAAAGAGGCCATGCATTATAATTCTTCCTTTGCAGACTTATTTCTGAATTGGTACCAACTTGCCATTGACTATGGATGAACACTCTGGTTGGGAAAACAAAATCCTGATTGTCTAACATAAAGGTAACATATAACACAGAAGGTAAATAATATAAGAGAGCCTGACTGAACCTCCTTTGATAGTAGGTATGATATTTTAAGCCACAGTGCATGTGCATGTATAAGTAATTGTCATATATAATATTCTCAGATATTATATACTTATTACATATATGCACAATGCTTTCCAAGACAGCTACAAATTTACACATGCATCAACTATCTAAAAACATAGAAATAGGTAAACCTATTCAGTGGAATTTTCTTAAATTATATTTGAACAATCAACAGGAAAAGTAATCATGTAAAGTACCGCTCTGTTCTTGTATATATCTACAATAAAATTCTATAAACAATTGTCTCCCAAAACATACCCGAATAAAATTACAAAAAAAAGATAATACCCAGTGTCCTATATTTGTATATTTATGGTCATTTCAAAAACAAACAAACAAATAAAAGAGCCCCACTCAGGTGCATATTTACATTCTTCAATCTGTAGCGGTGAAAAATAATTCTATTAAGTGCAGGACATTCCTAATGTTGCAGTAGTGACATTTTCCTTAAGTCTTCATGAACACATTGCTTTTGTGTTAATGGTGATGCATTCCAGGACTATGAGACAGTTCTGTCGCTGCCTTCATTTGCAGACGGTGGCACAGTCAGGATTAAAGAGCTCCTTGTATAACGGAGGAAAGAGTGTATTCACTATGTCTGGATGCGATTGCTTAAATACCTGCAGCTTCTCCCCGTGCAAGTTGCAAACCGCCGTGATGGTCGGTATCTTGGCTATTAACTGCAGAATGGAGGGGCAGGGAAGGAGACAAAGGGGGAAGCTCATTAGTGCTCTGTCTTGTGAATCAGTGTCCTTCTTGGCCCCAGATGAAGGGAAATGGCTTTGGAAAAAGATGTTCAGAAAGAAAGAAGGCTCACTTTCAGCTTTTCCTTTAGAACAAAACAAAACAAACTGCTCATCCTACCCCCCACCCCACCATCCTCTAAAGGGAAAATAAAGAGAAAGAGAGCTGGACCACGCTTCCTGATTCATTGTTCTTAAATAAAGTATGTATGGGAGGTAGTCTAGTTTAAGCATTAGGAGTGGGCGCTCTGCAGGCTGGCTGACTGAGTTGGAATCCTGGTTCCAGAACAGCTAATTGGCTGTGTGGCTGTGACACACGCGCAGTGCTTCAGTTTTCTCATTTGTAAAATGGGCACAGTACCTGCTTCCCTGGGTTGTTGTGTGGACTGAATGAGGTAATTATACGAAAGTGTTAAGAACACTACAGGCAGGAAACACAGTTGTTAGCTAATATTATTTTCTGTTATTTCCCACAGACTTTTGTGATGTGAATATTAGATTTTTAGTTTGGGAAGGTGAAGAAGTTAGGAAGGGGTAGCCTACGCCATATGAGGTGTAGTTTATAATTACCTGGACTGCTTTGCTGTCAGGCTCACTGGCCTGCCTACATCTCTCAAATCCTTTTCTGCTGTAACGCACGAAATGAAACCTATATTTAATCAAGGAAAAATTTGGAAGGTCACTGCCAATTAGCTCCCTTAGGAAGATGTTTTAAAAACCTGCATGAGAATATCCACTTATAATTGCTAGGTTTTGAACTACATATATAACGTAGGATGTAATTTTGAGTTCAAATAAGAAGACCATGTTTTTGTAATAATGTCCACAGTTTGCCAAATGGTATAGAAGTCTTAGGAGATGAACAATTCTAACTTTTAACATGCTTATAATTTAGGTATACTTAGAATCTATCATTTAATGTCAACATTAGCTTAAATCCAAATCTCGTTGTGATCCAATTACTGTGGGAATGAGGTATGTTCTCATATAGAGAATAGTTTTACAAAAGATAAGCTTGATCATTCATATAGCTCACTTGAAAGTGATGATAAAATATTAATAAAACCTATCTAATCACCAAGTAGGCTCACTGTGCTCCCTCCCCTACTTAATCATAAGAAACCATTGCACTCTTTGAAGTACAAGAGGAAACAGATAATTAGGTACTTTGTGGCTTTCCGAAATTTCCACTCTTTCATTAACTTTCCTTTCAACAACTGATGACGATATTACCATACTATGAACAATTTAAAAATAGCGTTATGGTGAGAGCTGTTGACATATTTATTAAAGGGATCTAGAACACATGAAGAAGTCTGGTGTTCAGACTTCCCATTTCGGCTGTTTACTGATAGGGCTAGAAGTGAAAAAATGTGGAATCTTTGTCTATCAAATGAATGTTAAATTTTAGACTGAGAGTGAAGACTTTCTGTCCAACACTATGAGTTACTTCAAAACAGATTGGTTCTTGCTAATAATTGACTTGGAAAGACAGATGTGAATCAGGTTACCACACAGACAAGAGCAAGCTGAAAACCTGCAGTGAGTGCTGTGCAGGAATGATGCCGGAAGTGGTGGATATTAGGACATTCAGGCTTCCTCTGGCAGGCCAGGAAGGCTTCCCCAGAAAGTGCCACTTAAAAATTTTTTTATTGTTGACATATTACATATGTCTCCTTTCCCCCCATTGACCTCATCTAGCCACCCCCACCCTCCACTGCAAATCTTCCGTCACCCTATTGTCTGTGTCCATGCACATATGCGTACAAATTCTCTTCCCTCTCCCCCTCCCTGCTTTCTGAGGTTCGACAGTCTGTGTTCCATGCTTCTATGTTTCTGGATCTATTTTGTTCATCAGTTTATTTTGTTCATTAGATTCCACATATGAGTGGGATCGCGTGATACTTATCTTTCTCTGACTGGCAGAAAGTGCCATTTATGCTGGGCTCTGAAGGAAGGGTGAGATCTAACCAGCTGCTGGGGCTGGGGGTCACAGACTATGCCCCAGGGTCGTATGCAAAGGTGCTGTGGTGTTGGGGACGCTGGAAGCAGCTGAAGGAAGTTCAGTGTTGCCGGAGCAGTGGGTGAGCTTGTCCAAGGATAAAGCTGGAGATGGGGCTGGCCAGATGACACAAGGTCTCAGTTACATTAAGGTCTTTGTAAGGGTTTTCAGCAAAAAGAGAAAGATGATCAGAAGCCCATTCTGAAAGATTCGCTTTGGGTCCAGGACGGAAAACCGCATCTTTTCTATGCTTTCATAGGTGAAGAGTGTGCGAGTGTCCACTCGACTAGAGTTCCTAGGGAAATTATTCAAGCTCTCTTAAGCAGCTGGTCCACACAGAAGGAGACTGTGACAGTTTGAGAACAGTTACAGTTCTCCCTGAAAGAGCTACCGAATGCAGAAAGGCTTTGAAAGCTTCCTATAATCCTTGCAGTTGAATTGATGATGTGCAGAGCTCCTGAAACTCCCACAAGCAACCCTGGAATGCTTGTCAGTCTTTAGTGTGTGTGAGTCACTGGGGTGCTTCCCCAAATGCAGGTTACTGGGATCTACCCCTGGGGATTGTGTTTTTCTGTAAGTCTAGGTGGAGCTCAGACCCCATGTTTGAAATGAACATTCCGTGGGGATACTGATGTAGTGGGTCCATGAGAGAGTTTGAGAAACACTGTTTCAGAGGTTCAAATCTTAAACATTTACAACTGTTTTTCAAAATTGAAAAGTAAATTATTTATTATGTTTGAAACAGTCCTGGTAGCTGCGTGTAAAATTGGCTCCTTCTCAGGAGACAGGCACGCAACTGTATTTAGAGAGGGAAGAGTCCGTTGCTTAGTCCTATTAGTTTGGGGAGGGGCAAGTCATGAAATTCCCGAGGCCCCTGGGACACAAATACCGCATAAGGAGGAGTAGCCAAATGATTAAAAACAAAAACAGCATATGGGTTTGAAGCCTGACTGAGTCCTGCATCTGCTGTTTCTAGCTTTGTGATCTTGGGCAAGTCACTGAACCTCTCAGCTTTCTTATTTATCAGGTGGCAATCATGGCAGTCCCTATCTCAGAGTGTTGTGAGGATTCAATGAGACAGTACAAACTCTCTGTAGCAGAGCCTGGCATAACATATGTGTGTCAATATATGTGTAAGGGTCATGCTTCCATTCCCATATAATGCTTCCTTCAAGGAGAGAAATACATAGTCAAGACCACACTTGTTTAGTCAAATGAGACACAAGGCAAGAAACCAGCTTAGCCCTTAGCCAAGGACCAAAAATCGAATCTTTGTATATCAAGTGTGCATACAAAACCAGCACTTTACTTTTATTGAAATAAAAAAGCAACATATTGGTTTTCATTTTCTTGTAGCAATTAAATTAAGTTGCTCATTTGATAAACTGTGATCCATAAAGTCGAATGCTAGGTGCTACGATTCTTCAAGCAGTTTTTTGTTCCTTTAGAGAAGGGGGATGAAGGTGGGAAATTAAATGTATGAGACAAGGACTGAAACCCTGGCTCACTTGCACCAGAATTATTTGACCATGTGTTCAGTTTTGGAAAGGGAATATGGACTCTTGCTTCTTTCCTGCCTAAAACTGGGTTTAAGAGGCATCTGATTCAGAAACTCATTCTCCCCTCTTCTGTGGGACTTGGGTTCTTCCCTGTTGCTCATCTGGAGGATGGGCTGAATGGTGAGACTTGCTTTTGGTAAAAGAACACTGGGACCACGCGAACAAGGATCACCGAGAAAGGCAAAGAGCTTCCCTAATCTCTGCGCTCTCGGAAGAGGCTGGTTTAAAGGCATCCAATCAGCTGTGGAAACAGAAGTGCTGACAGGGGCATCCATCACTCCGGAGGCATGGTGGGCCAGGAGGCCACACAGGGGCAGCAGTAGCATTTGTCAGCGCCCAGAAAGGCCTGGTGGAGGAAGCAGCTGGCAGTCACTTATTGTTCATTAATATTATGTACTACCGCTGGGGGACCCCCATTTCAAAGGGAGCTCAGAGCAGCCTCAGCAGCAGTTAATGGCTCAACAACTTTTTAAACAGCTGGGGAGGTGATCCCGAAGCACTTGGAGATGAAGGGGGTAGTCAGTTTCAAATCATCATGAAATTTCTTCATGCTTAAGTAATCCCCATAGCGGGGATAGACAGAGGGTCTATGAAAAGGCATTTTCACACTCATCTCTTTCTTATAGAAGCATTTTTATAAGAAGGAAGCTTTAGCTTATACCTACCGGGTCTACAAGAAGAAAAAGCAGCTGTTGGAGAAGAGATAATAATCCTATGCCTCTTTCCAGAGGGTAGTTTTATGAGGAAAATCCATAGTTTTATGACTGGCACATTTGCTGTTGAAAACATGAAACCTGAAGAGCCTAAAGCTAGTGATCTTGTTCAGAAGGGCTCCCAGGCCACCAAATGCCCTCCAGCCTGACGCAGGAAGCCGACAAGGGTTTGATTAAAGTGTAAGAAACTCCAAAGCACTGATAAAAACGGGGCACAAGTGAGGCTAAATACCTCCATTTCACTTGTTTATTCACCTTTGAGCTTTTATTTAGTAGCTTGGCACTATGATAATAGAAAGACAGACTTCTGTCTCTATATTGATGATACAGTTTGTTGTTGTTATGCAGAAATGGACTTAGGGATGAGGAAGGTAGTGAACCTGTCGGTTTGTGCGTCTCCCAGCTCCATCTATCACAGTTCCCCCGGGAAGGCTGAAGCCTTCCAGATCTGAGGGGGGGATGAACTGCAAAGAACAGACTCGTCACCCCATGGTGCAGCCATTCTTGGCCGGGCCATTCTCTCTCCATGGCCAACCCAAGATCTCCATTGTGTTTCTGTTAACATGGCGTAACTTTAGGCTCATACCTATGGAGGAAGGGATACTGTGTGGCATCTTCATGGACAGCAAGAGCTTTAACAAGACGGACTATTTAATACTAATA